TTAAGTATTTGAAAATTATAAGGATGAAGGACGCATGCGAAAGCTTAAGTGTCTCTCCTCTTCCCCAATGCCGTAACGGACACGCGAGCCGCTAGTAAGCTCGTTAAATTATGTGGATTATACGAAATTGAAGCCTGCACCATAAATTCAAACTATGCAACTGCTCGTTAGTATGTTACTGCAAGTAATATTGACAACTAATTCTTCAACGTATGTATGTACACTACATAACGTGCTGGCTGGACTTCACGTAAGAAACTAAGGTTATATAGCGCCTAGCGGCGCACCTTGGAAACATTGCAATGTTTGAGAACCCCTGAAAGACAGCCACCGGGTGCCTCAGATGTTTCTCTTCTGGTGTCAACATTCATTGGCAGAATTCATTGGTAGCTTCCCGCAGGTAAAAATAAACAACTGTCAGCTGCAATATTACTCGAGTTTTGAGAAACCTGGGTTTAGAAGTCGCATTAAATTATAGCTGTGACAAATCTGACGGCAACGTGGAACGTTCTGGCCCAAAAATCGATTAATCGACAACGATAATCGAATTATTCGATTAATCTAATACCAATAATCGTTCACGTTAATCGATTAATTTTTGCTCCGATTAATCGATTAATCGGTTTTTTTCGATTAATCGCCCATCCCTATTGTTTACCTTGCGTTTTTAGAGGGAAAAAAGTTTTGACATGAAGTTTTGACAGTGATAAGTGAACTGTACAAATTTCAGAAAAGTTACAAGATCTCCTTCAAATTAAGGATTACATTCTTGGCAGCAGAATTCAATTTCCAGACCTGAGCAAGTAAGTTTTTTGGTGTTGGTATGAAAATTCAGAGGCTGATCGTGTTCATGAAAAGGAGATAACACGCAAGAATCTCTTAAGAAAAACTATACCTCTCAAACAGATCGCCAGAAATGATTAGATATTAAGCACTGCAGCTCTTGTTTTCTCCTCAAACTTTCATACAGAGCATGTAGAACCTATCAAACATGCGAGCCCGAATGTCGATCGTGTGACTCCCAAACCATGTAACTCGTTCACAGTGCCGCAAAATTTCCGGGTACACCTACTTTCTTTTTAAAAGAGAACCAATCAACATCATTCTTCAAAGTTTTCTCCAAACTGTTTCGCTTAGAGAAGGAAAATCAAGGAAGTTTTGAAGAATAAATGTTGAATAGTTCTCTATGCGAAAAATTATGTATGACAGGAAGTCTACGTTGTCACAATCCCAAGTACATGGTTTGGGAGTTTCACGGTTGAAATGCAATCATAAGAGAAAAGAAATGAATACCTATTAAAGTTTCGCCAACTTCTTGCATGACAGTTTCACCATTTAAGGTCTAATCAAGTAATCTAAGTCACAACAAAAAATTGTTTTTACGATCAGGGAGCAGGACAAGAATGTCCCAGCCTTTCAGTATTTCTGAAAATGCATCTGTAATTCTGCCAATAACTTCTGACTTAGGCCATTCTTTTTAAAATCTGAATCCCATAATCGATATAATCCTTTGTCACTCCTTTTACAGGTCATACTTCGGGACTGCGTTAAGGCACCGTGCCAGAACAGGAAAGTCGGCAGAATTAAGTTGAGAACTTCTCCCACAAAAAGGTTTGGAAAATCTGCTGTACTCTCCCGACAATGGACTCCATGATGACAGAAGCAGATGATCAAATTTCACAGTACTCCACTCAACCTCCGACACTGGAGAAGTTCATGCACCGGGAGAAGCTTGACGATCTCAAATGTGAAGTGCGTGAATTATCCCGAGAAATCCTCCACACCGGATCGAAAGAAACAACAAGAGTATCTCTGAATCCTGATCAAACTGTTGTTTTACCCGAGCGAAGTGTCTTGCTCAAAAAGAAGACCCAAATAGTAAATGCTCTTCGTGTTGAATTAGAAACTGATAACTCTCAAGATGGGCCTTGTATCAATGCACAAGCTTTTGTTGGGTATACCACACAGCTAGGAAAAGATGTCCAAGCCATTGAACAGTGTCTATCGAGTAAAACAGAAGAAGAAGAGCGCATTAAATACCGATTAGAAAGATTGGAAAAGACCAAAAAAGAAATAGAGAGTTTTAACAAGGGGTTACAAGGATTCCTAAAAGATGGCCTCTCTGATTTGGAACGCCTGGAACCGCTCATTAATCAAGATTTTATTAAAATTAAAGGAATTTTTAACAAGTACCTGAAGGACATTTCGCCTAGCGGTAATCTTCAACTTATCTTACAGGAACTGGAACAGGCTAGTAATCGTGAAGGAGAAGACAGATATATTGAAATTGATGATGAGAATTATGCGTCAATAATGATGCTCACAAAGGCATCATTGGTAGTTCGTCATCCAAGGACAGCTGGGAAAGTTCGACTGTGCAACTTTAAGTAATGTGTTTATTTAGAGAAATTTTCCAAAACCAACATACTTTTTAAACTGTTAAATTTATAGATGATTGACTTTTTCAAGGTATTTTATTCAAAAAAAAAAAAAAAAAAAAAAAAANAAAACGCGTAGATTTGACAGCATCGAGAGTACGACTGCGAAGACATACGCGGCAAATGGACGGTACGACTTCATACGTCACTCGATCGCCGATTTTCTCAGCGCTGCCACTTCGGCACCCCGTTTGTCCATACCTGTAGTAGAGTGTACCTTGGTGTATCTGTTTCAAGTTAGAAAGTTAATGCAGAATTTTCCTCAATGAATAGTAGAAATTTCGTGGAAAAAATTAATTTGGAAAGGCAAAATCAGAGGATAAAGATCGAATTTCTACTTTGACTTAAGGCATGTCATCAAAGTATAATTTACTTAATTATTTTGAGTATCTTGTCCAAATTTTTGTTGATAAAATCTTTCACATATAAATGCATGGTTTCTGAATTTGCAGGTGAGAGTATCTAAAATTAAATAAAATTGTAAGGTCAATAATTGCAGATATAATGCAAACGTGATTAAATAACTAGCATAACATACAAGATGAAGTTGAGGAAGATAAGTATTTACACGAGGATATGTTAGAATCCGTGTGATGTAACTGTCACAACAGGAGGAAAGTGTCTCCGGGAGAGAGAATGTATGCATTGTCGCCAGTTAGGGGCAGCCAGAAAAAACTTTAATTGTGGCACAGATTTGAAAACATACGAACAGAAGAGAAATTGGGCCTTACCTACTCTGTTTCAAAAGCAATTGATGTTATTGTTTTTTTCTCTTCCTTTTTTTTTCCACATTCATTCATGCTCTGAATTGCATGGCAATTTTATATGGCTGACAGGTTACTTTTAAAATGTTGTGATGTTTTAGCAACAAAGTGACTAATTGTTACAAAAATGTAATAAATGTAATTAACATCATTGGTGTTTGATAAACTTGTATTTATTTAATCAAAATAAGTAACAATTTAGCAATAGGATACTATTAGGAGAGTATAAAAATTCATGTCCTTTACAATATCAGAATACAAAAAACTGAGTCACAGCATCGTTGATAACAATGGGCCTCCGGACAAGGAATAAATTAAAGCACATGCAACATGTCGTTTCTTCAAAATTTCACAAGGAAAACAAATCAAACGACAGGAAGTCCAGAAATCGATTTCTAATTAATGTATAAGTGTTTACAATTAACATTGGTTGAATTACAAAAATGGTAATGATGTCACATACGAAAATCCAACTTCCATTTTATCTATGTTGAAAATGCTGGTTAATATCTCGTTCAGGATATAATTTCCTTCTCATGGAGACACACATTTTCTACTTAAGATTTTGAAGAGAGACGCGAGACGATTCTTTCTCAGTTTAGATCTTGTCTAGAGGCCCATTATTAAAAAGGAAAAGAAAATCATAATTCAAAAATTGTCATGTGCAACATCTACAGGAGACAATGAATGCTTCACACCAGCTGATGAGAAATCAAGTGTAGCAGTTAGAAAAAATTAACAAACCAAAATAAACAGAATGGGCATTTGAAAATGAATCAAAACATTTAAGTTTTTAGTTTTAGACAACTATAAACTAAAAAAAAAAACTAATTATAAATAATGAAGACCATCAATTGTGGCATATATTAATACTTGCTAATTCCATTGCCGAAAATAGAAAAATGATCATATGAAAGAGCAAATAAAAACTTCATTTTCAAACTGACTGTTATTTTAACAGCTGAAAACTTAAAGAAAAAGGTATTTCTTAACATGCACATTAAATGACAGCCTGCAACAATGTTTTGAGAGATTAACGGAAAGACCAGTTTTAACACCTGGCTTACTTGAAGGTTCTGTTGAGTGACCTTCGAAAATTATACAATGCTGGTCAGGAACTTAAGTTTATTCAGGCTTTGTCTTCATTTTAGAAAACCTCCACTTTCTCTTAGGTGTTATCAATTGGAGATTTCTGATGCATCGACAAACTATTGCGCATGTTCGATTTTGTATAAGTGATATCCTAGGATTTGTCTAGGAGCCTCTGAAACAAGAAAATGAAAAATAAGAACATTAATTAGAGAAGAATAAAGTAGATGAATTCAAGTAATGAGATAAGCGATAATTTGTAGTTGACTCAAGTTCATGCGCAGACGTTATCGCTACTGATACACATAGAGTACATAGAGTCGTAATGTAAGGGGGAAGGCTGGCGCCACTTTTAAGCATTATCCATGTCCGAGAATCCATGAATTCCGAGACTCCTGTGTGACGCCGGGTCACTTTTTCGATACATGATCGATTGTTTGCGATACACGGGTACCCGGCCATCCGATGTAAATAAAGGAAATAGGAATTACGACGTATTCCACACTGTCATTTTAGATTGAACATGTATCGAAAAAGTGACCCGAGCTCGGAACTCGTCTAGCAGAACATGGCGCCAGCACTCCCATCTACATTACGACTCTATGTACTCTATGCTGATACAGAAAGAAATAGCAACTCACTTAAGGGTTAAAATACAAAAAAAAAAAAAAAAAAAAAAAAAAAAAAAAAAAAAAAAAAAAAAAAAAAAAAAAAAAATACTACTTAGCTTGCTCGACCCCACCAGACAAGCCCACAAAACCAGTCATAAAAAAGTTCACCAAGACTCTTAATAACAACAAATAAAGTTTCCCTGTTGGTTTTTATCCTGACTCTATCAGGTCAGTGACAACTCCGCATTACAAAGCTTTAAGTTATGGATTTTGAAATGAGGGTTTCTTTTCTAGAATTGATCATACATCCTTAAATTAATACTTACACGATGATATTGTTGATTGGAATATGTATTAGTTTAACAAAAAATCCAATGAACCCCATTATACAGAATCCTATTGCAGTGGCTACAGCTATCTTTTTGAATTCTGAAAGAAAAAAGGGGAAAAAAGATATTAGAATTAAAGACAAAAGCTGAGAGAAAGAATTTTTCGGTGGATGAAAAATCATTGAGAATAAAATTCCAAGTTCAACAATGCTCAGCTCACCATTCAATTTGCTCCCTTCTCATTTTCCATGATTGAAACTTACTTTTTGGATGAAATTGAAATGTTTCACTTCTCTAAGTAATTTTCAATTACAACATGGCTCTTTTGTTTCAAAGCATTGTACCTATGATTTTAAGGTGAACATATTTCTGTTGTGAGTAACTTCGAATCTAACTAGCTAGAGTATTATTCACAGCCGTTTTGAACAACAACCCAACAGAATGCCGCCTATAATAAAACCTCTTGTCCGGGCATTTACATGAAAAAGATTAAAACATCTCTGAAAGCAAGAAGAAATATTTTTTTTTTCATTTCAAGATGTCATTGAAGTACGCATTTCTGGACTCATTTGAAGTCAAAATGAAATTTTCATGAACTAACTAAGTGATTTGTTCTCTTCTGGAAAATTTTCCACAAGGTTTGGTTAGCAACTGTCTTCTTCCCTTTGGTCCGAACATGGCTAATGGATAGCTCTATACTTAATTATATCAGAGATTTTAACCTTGACTAAAGAGAAAAAAATGTAGACGTGTCATGCTTTTGAAAGAAATGAAGGAGACAATGGAATTAAAACCAAGTTTGTCTATAATCAACAATAGTTTACGGAGTATATTGACTTCGCAATAGAGAATATCACCTTTCCTATCTGGTTTTGTGCATCTTTTCACTAATCTGAGAGAGTCTTTGGCAAACTTCTGTCCAGGTTCCAAGATTAAGTTGATTTGATCCATAGTGATATCTGAAAATGAAAAAAAGATTTTTAAAAAAGGGAATGAACGAGGAGTAGAGTGAAACTTTCCAAACGGATCACTGGAACTCCTAAATTAACTCATTTTGCAGCCTGTTCGCAGGTCATTTCTGAAAGTAACTAAACCAAAAATGTTTCATTCACAAAAATCACATACAAGAACCAATTGGTGTTTTTTGATGGAGGCTTTGATACACATTATAATACATGAATTCCTTCCAATCAGCATGACAAGGCATCGCAGTGCAATATGATGCATGATATAGATAGGGTTCTTTCGTATCCTCATGAGCCAGCAAAATTCCAAATCGCCTCTTAGTACAGGAAATGATGTCTTGAGGGCCAATTAATGAAAGTCTAAAGCAGCCCGGTGCCCAATAGGACGTCAAAATGCAATATATTGTTTGGTTAAGATAAAGCTATGTCTTGTCTTAATGCGCCAACATAGTATCAAAAATTGGGCCACTGCAAGGCTAGAAAAAAATGAATGACTTTCGTGAAGATGGGACTCATGAACACACCAAGGAATTCTGGGTGAATGATCATCAACATATGAATAAGATCTTTAAAGTGTTAATTACCTTTGGAGTCGATAATTATTATGCTACATTTAAGGGAAAGATCTGCTTGTCAGGGAAAAGCATTCCAGAGGAAACGGAACGGAGCAGTAGACAAAATAACTCATCGCACGGAGGCTGAGGTAGGAGAAAATAGAAAACAGAACGTTTTAATAATTTAGAAACTACAGTTACGAACCTGTGAAGATTCCCAGATGAGATTGACTATGTTAGGTCAAGTTTTGCTTTGTAAGTACCTCTCACACTTCACGTACACGAAAACACGAAATAAGACGAAAGAGAAGAGAGAGACCCAAACCGGACCTACCCTACCTAACCTCTTCCACGTCACGTCAAATGACAACAGCTGTTGATGACGTTTCCATTCTGTCATCACGAAACAAGGAATTTTCAGATTTTCAGACAAGGAACAAAAATGAAGTGGACCTTTCAACTTTTTGGAATTTTGGAGTGAACCGACGATAACCATAACCTAAAAACCAAAACAAAACAAGAAAGCATGTTCTGGCATGTTCGGTGATTCATGGTGATTGCAATGCAAGCATGATTCTGGATTATATTTGGAAATTTAATAATGTAAGTTCTATTTTACTATCAAACTATTCTGCCTACTTCCAGTATGTTCCTTTACAACGCCGAAATGATTTCCAATCGCCCTCGATCTGATTATTTATTCCCACTTTTGAATGATACTCCGAATCCTGTGTGACATGGGTAGGATTGTAATGTATCGCAACTCATTTTTGCCTTATCTTTCATCATTTTCGAATTGTTCAAGTTTTGCTTATTCTTCGGTAGTAAGTGTTCTTGATGCAAGAGGAAGGACTCCTCACTCGAATTTTTATCCTATCAATAGCTAGTACTTAAGAGCATAACGACGGGGTGAGTCGGCAATTACATAACTCGTTTGCGGTGTCTGAAAATCTTTGCCTCTATGTTATTTTTTTAAAGGAGAACAAATTGACATCATTCCTTGAAGTTTATGCAGAATTCTCTTCGCACAAAGGAGAAAAATCATGGCAGTTTAAGATTTGCCGTCGACTAGTTTTCTGTTTAAAAAACAAAGAATGACAGGAAGTCTGTGGCGTTGCCAAACGAGTTATGTGATTGCCAATTTACACCGTCAATAAGTAGTAGTTTATGGAAGGGGGGTGTTATATTCCTGACAATGACTGAGTCCGCGCCTAATAAGCTTTTGCACTTCTAGACTGAGTCAGAAGACCGTCTGTTGTCACTTTCACATGCGAAGTAGGTGGTAAAAACAAGATGGCGGAGCTTCTGTTGCAGTCCAAAAGTGCGTTAACTTATTTGGCAGGGACTCTGTCTCCTCTTGACCGATTTTACACTCTATTTAGTTTTAGTTTCTGCACTGTGAGCATTTTAATCTAACTTTTCTTTCTATTTTTGTTCGAACAGTGAAGTCTCTGAAAGAATCTCCAAAATGTCAACTGGTGCTTTTGATGTCCATGCAGCTTTTTGCTCAGAGTGCGGATCAGTTTTGCCATTTTTAACTGATGTTGGTGGAGTCGAGTGCTATCAATGTAAAAAAATTTATGAAGCAGAGGGTAAGATTTTCTTACTTATCATTACTGATTATTACAAACTTATAAGAGAAAAATGAAGTTAAAAGTTGACTGGGTTTAGCCACAATCACATGAACAGTCTGACAAGCGCGCATGCATAGAGGTCATCAAAGAGAAAACTAGAGCTGTTATTTGGAACTCAAGCTAAAAAATTCTGCTTGGCACCCCATGCTTTGGAATTGGTGAGGAGAGTTGTCTCTGAATTGTTGATGGTTCCAGCCAATCTCTACAGCCGGCTGGTGCCCAGATTTTTTATACTACTCAATAGTCGGCCTACTGTGGTGTAGTGGTTGTAGCACTGGCCCTATGACGAAGAGGTCCCGGGTTCGATTTCCGGCCAGGTGATTTGAGTTTGATGGTCTCAGGCAATGGTCACCTGGGGCTGGGGTAATAAGCATGAGATTAGCCGATAGACTATTTGAATTTGGCAAAGCAAAAAAAAACGAAAATATAGAAAATAACATACACCAAAGGAAATACTCAATTTATACTTCAGCAACTTCAAAAATCGATACTCGAGAATTTTCTTAGGAGGATGATTGGCAAAATGCCCCTGCTTTTTCATCCAAAATGAGGAGCTCTTTTTTGAATATCATTCAAACAGTAGAGAGTGGTTCAATACATTCTAAGTCTTCTCCCTACTCCTGTCCACTATTTTAAGAATTATCAACAAAGACTTTCACATGTGTGGTGAAAACGAAGTGAATTTATTACCTATCATTCTCTTCAGAAAATTTTTCAAGCTTCCTAAAATTTCCCCTCTTCTTCCGCTGCCCAAAAAAACACGTGTTACACCCTAAAGGCATAAATTTAAGCACCAGCCAACCTTTCATTTTGGCGGTAACTGTTGGTCAATTAGAGAGAACTCACCACATGGCTATAAAAGTAGAGGGTGCAACTTAGCTTTTAGTTCAAAGCACTCCACTCTTGTTTCCTCCTTGGTGGCCATTAATTGGCAGTATCATGAACATTATCATTATTAAACAGTACCTTACAGCTACTTGTTGACAGTCAAGATTGAATGAAAAATGTTCATAGGGAAAAGGGAGATTCATGCAATAAATTTTGCAGTTCATAAGATCCTAGTTAAAATTAGTGCAGAAAAAACTGAAGTTCTAAAATTCTCTGGTCTTCAGATGTATCTAAAATGATTTTTTTCTTTTCTGCGCTGTGTTCAGGCTCAGTATCTTTCCTTTTTATTCCAACCTTGGTATGTACAACATTCAACAGTTACTTTAATTACTAAGTAAGTTAGGTCCAAAGTGGGGTAATTTCATATTATTCTAGCATCTCCCAAAAGGAGAAAAGTGGCTGACCACATGGCGATCATTATTATGTAACAATACACAGATGTAAATTTGTCAGATTTGGTTTGCCTTAAGCAAAAGACACATAGTCATAGATTTCAACATAGAATAGATTCAACATAGAACATAGAATTCAATGCATCATGTGTGAATCAGCTAAAATAACTATCAATTAGCTGCCTAAACAAGGTTTGAAAACCCTGAAATGTGTGCTCCTTCTTTTCTCCCAAAGTGCTAATTTTTAATTTTTTACCAGTTTTTAAAGATGTAATGAAAAACGAGTACACCATTCATTTCAACACATTCAATGAACGAGACTTGAAGAAAAGCAAGAAGAAGAAAAAGAAGCAAAAAAACAGCGAACCCGATGGACCCCTGGTTGAAAGGAAATGCCCAAAATGTGATAATGATAAAATGTCCTATGCAACTTTACAACTCAGATCAGCAGATGAAGGACAAACAGTTTTCTACACCTGTACCCGATGCAAGTGAGTATTTTTTTCCCTTCATCCTTTTTACAGTACTTCCATTAACGTAATACCCTGAAGAACAGTAATGAAAACATAATGATTGTCTGATCCACCAAAATTAGGATTCATTAACTAATTGATATAAAAGGATCAGAGGGTTACATGGTTAAAAAATTGCAACATAACCCAAGAAAATTGAAACTTTGTTTCAGTGGCACGGCATGTTTTGCGATGGATCGATTGATCTGCCATTTAAAACTTTGGATAAGGATCAATAACTAAGGTGTACACAATGGACACCTTGATAATCGATTCATTACCATAGCTTCCAGTAGGAAAATATGGACAGCCTATGATTCACACTTCATTTATGGCCTCAGTCAACATCAACTGATTGAGCTCCTTTGAAAATATCTGCTTTAATATTGATAGGTACGATGGCAATCAAAATAGTTTAAAAATTAAAAAAATAATTTTGAGCATTGGATGGTACCATCTGATTTTTAATCAATTACTCAATTTTGCATTTTCTTTTTTTTTCAGATTCAAGGAAACTGAAAACTCTTGATTGAGATGTCAGCTTGCAGATTTAAAAGACCTCTTGTCATATTTTTTGGTGACTTCTACCTATTTAATTTTTGTTTACTGAAAGTAAGCAAGTGTAATTGAATAGTCTTCCTTGTATTTATTGTCAATATCCCATGTATTATTTTTAAAAAAAAAAATTGTAAATAAATCGTTATAAAAACTTGGTATAAATTGTGAGGAGAGTTTTTAATGGTTAATAGAAGCAGACCTTTACCCCTTAGAGTTGCTATAGTGTGTAAATTTTATCTAAACATCATTTCATCAAATATTGAAAATGTTTTGATTCATTGAAGAATTTGAATGTCACTTGAATTTTCACTTGAACATAATTGAATCTGTAGGAAGTAGAGACATTTTAAAGAATGCAATTGATTATCAATGGTAGATTTTACTACCAGGTAATGAAAATGCAGTCATAGTGAAAATGATTCTAGCATTTTATATTCAAAAGTGCTTTCAATTGGACAGGGAGACTTTTATGCGTCTTAACAACAATACCTTGATTTTTGAGTACTTTATTTTTCACTTCCTGCAGATGTGATTCTTCCAAAATTGTCAAATTAAAACTGCAAAACTATCATAAATGGAAATGTTGTTGACACATGTCTCCTTGTCAGAGCCAACTTAACCTAATCCAAGACGATAATGCGCCGACCACCCTTAATGAAAACATGAAAGACCAGCGAGGCAGTAGAGTCCATGCCAAATAAGTTCATGCACTACTAGACTACGATAAACAACTGAAAGCATTACTATAATTATTAAAAAAAAACAAATCAATTAGTTTAATTATTACTAAATGTAGAATTAATAGACTACTAATTTAAGTTCTAAGCTTAAAACATTGTATATGTCAATATAGTTTTACCTATTATTTTTATAAAACATTTACCTATACTTCTCTAGATCCTTTCGTACTGTAGTGCAGTATTATACATAATCAAAGATAATACTGACTTGGTCCACACCGCTTTTTTGGAAGGATCTGAGGAAAAGCAGTGTGTATTGAACCATTTAAGTCAATTTTCGTAGAGCTGATTTCTCGATATACTTACTATCATATTCTCAAATATTTTACTTGTTAGGAATTTCGCTTACTTTATTTGAAATTCTGAACAAGGCAGTAGATATTCAATCCTCTTGAATCAGTAGGCGTTGAAAGTGCCAAATGTTGTATCTCGTTTGCGGTGTTTCAAAATCTTTGCTCCCATTTAATCTGAGGATGACTCAACATGTAATTGCTTGAATTTTTGAAGGAATATCATGCACACAGAGAGAAAAAATCATGGAAGTTTTTAAGAGTTGATTTTGAATATAGTTTTCCATGTAAAGAATAAAGCTTGACATGAAGTCTGCATCGTTGCAAAACGAGATGCACGATTATGGAGTTTTGCCGTCGATAAGCCCTTATTTGGACTATGTTATGCATTAAGTCTTTTAGAGCAATATTTAAAAATCCCTCCTTATGAAGCCTCGTGTTTCAGACCAACACCATTGCCTGAAATTTGCACGAGGAAATTATTCATGCAGAGAAGAAAAATCAGAGATTTTAAAAACAAATTTCCCAATTTAAAAAATACTTAAGGGGAGCCAGACACCCTATCTTCCCAATGTTAACGTGTGTACCTTTTTCTCAGGATCTACTGAACAAAAATTACTTCTCTTTTTTGTTTTGAACTTTGAACCCTCCTGAACATTTTAACACGGGCTTTTTTTAAAATTTAAATATTTGAAATTTAGGTGAAATTTTGAAAGTTTGGTGAAATTTTGAAATATTTTTGTTAGAAATCAAAGAATTTGGACATTCGAAATCAAATTAAAAAAAAATCCAGCTCGAAATTTTGGAAAAGCTCGTGTTAAAATGTGCAGGAGAGTGCAAGGATTTGAACAAAACAAAGTTTTTGAAAATCGGTTCAGTAGATCCTGAGAAAAAGGTAAGTACATGAGTGCCGAAAAATGTAGTTTTCGGGAAATGAGGAATTAAAAAAAACAGCAAAATCAGTTTTAGTGTAATTAGTTGTGTATTTAGTAAACCTTCCCTCACTAAACCGCGCGTAACTTCAAAAATACTCATCAGATCAAGTAAAACTTGGTCTGAAATTAAACGTGAGGAGTAGGAGATTAAGATTAGCCAGAAAATAAAAAAAACATTTTTTTTTCAATTTTTAAGTGTCTGGCTCCCCTTAAGGATGCCAAGAAGTCTGCAGCATTGCAAAACCGAGGTATTCGCTCCTGGAGTTTCACCTTCATGTATTGTTAATTCTGTACATAACACTGTTCAATGAAAGTTGCCAATGGCTTTTTTTTTTTTTTCCAAATAGCCTGTGAGGCTAATCCCATATTCCATTCACATACCGTCCTCGTTCTCCCCTATCTTAAGCCCTCCCTGTCCACTTCCCTCAGCAATCTTCCATCACCCCAGTTACTATTTTGGTATACCCTCAATTTAAACAATAAGTTCCTTATAAATGCCTCCATTCCCAATTCCTCCATCTTGTGGCCCTTGAATTTGTCATTTTCCCTTAGGTACCCCTCTATAGAAAATCATTTTATACCCATTACCCTTTTTATAGTAGGCCCAGGCCTTACTGCCATACCTAGTCCCTTTTGCATTATCCCCCCTCATAAGCTTTTTTCATCATCATCCACTCGTTTTATATGGACTGCTTAAGCAGAAAGGAACCAACCCACATTTTGGAAAAAATTGAGTTATGAGTGGTTTTGAACTCAACCACTGCTCTACTATCTATTGCCAAAAATTCAAAGTTTTTGTTGGAGCAAATTTTGCAGAAATTGAACTTTAAGTTTATCTTTTACATTGAGTCTTATGCAGGAGCCAAACTTTAAACCTCTTTTTCTCGGTCCGATCCCGATGTGGCTTGGTTCCTTTCTGTTTAACTCCGTCCATATATCCTATCTTAATTTTACAAATAAAATCAAAGGCCCTGTATTCAATGAACAAGTACATATACAGTACATACATTACAGTACACATAAGAAGGCTGTATTGATGTGTCAGCAGTATAACTCGACGATATAGCAACCTTAATTTTGATGAAACATGGAGAACATAAAAATGATTGTATTGATTCTAGGGGTAGGGTAGTAGGATGTCTCATTATTTATTGTCTCCTTTGAATTAGAAATATTTGGACAAGAGAATTACTTGTTTTTATTAATCGGTTTTATTATTATCAAAAAAATACATTAGATGAACTGAGGAGGGGAGGAACTAAGGCCTTAACATGATTCAGTTATCGTAGAGGGCGGGAGGGGTTCACGACAAAAGCAGTGCGCCTTTTTAAAATTTGCCGCAGTTCAATATAAGTGATCACGTGAGGATTGTAAAACGATGTTGTGCGAAGAGCAAGCGGGAAGGGGAAACGAAGTGAAGTCCGTGGAAGTCATCACTCTATGTTTTCAGGTTGAACCTGCGACTACTTGGTTCGACTTGATGTGCTGATATTGCGAATTTTTCATAAAATCTAATGTTCTCGGACTCCTTGAATTTCCCTTTATCACAGCCATAAAGTTTCGCGTTTTAAAATCATAGTTGGCTCACGATAATTTTTGAATAATCTTCTCCGCAGTCGACTACCAGAGACTACTATTTTCAAAAACATTCTTCTCGCCAGAAATTGTTGTGCTATTTTCACATTCAGCGCCCTCTATTTTTGTTCCCGAGCTGTGCAATAGAGTTCTCTTCTATTGTCCCCGTCGGCCATTGCACGAAATAGACGTTCTGTCGAGTACTTTTCAGTCGCCATTTAGGATTTACACTGCAATTATTTCATCTCCAATTATCCAAGACGATCCACGATCCATTATTCTTAGTAGACGTTATTTACCAATCCTACAACTCACTGAATCATTGATTGATTCAGCCAGGTCTTAAGATTGGAAGTGGACTGTGGAACGAAGTTTCGTTGTACCATGTCGGAGGCGAGACTATCTCTCGAATTTGAGAATCGGATGTGAAAGCCTGCTTTAGATACTTATTTACGTGATCAGCTTTCACGTAATTGAACTAGAATCATAAGTAATCTCCAAGTTATCGTTATTGCTCGTTGCTCACGCCAATTCGAAATATGTGAATAGGCCATCTACGGCCTGCGATACCCCACGAACTCGAGTTTCGTTGGATTTCCCATAAGTGTAAATTTATTCGGTCGCGATGTTATCGGTCTGTTGCAGGATTCGGTTGTGAAAAAGTTGTCGATCACGCGTTTTCTCGGTCATGTTCAGTGATAGTGCCCTTTGGATTACCCTTTTCATATCTTGGATTACGCCATTTTGACAGGAACGTATTTGCTATGATTAGCTAGGATAAACCCCGTTCAGAACCATGGTGAGTGTGCCATAAGTGTAATCAGGCGCTTGAAGTGCACCTGAAATCATTTTCTAATCTGTTACATGTTGTACCTCCATCCTCACACTACGAAACGTCTTCTAAAGCTCAGCCACGGAGGCTTGGCTTCGGGAGCCATCTTTGTGGAAGTTCAAGGACTTTCACATCTTGTCCATTCATGCTCTGTATTCTTGCTCTCCTTTCTGTTTCGAGTTCGAGCTCCCCGTACAGATTTCCGCAGCATGATGAAGTATTTCCACAGTGTTTATCATATGGACGTAGTTTTAAGAAAGGCCTTTGGAATCAAAGGTGGTTTTCAACCAGAGTTACCCTGCTGGTTATGGTACTAAACTTGCTGCGGCTGAGTGCTGAACTACGTTGGTCCCTCCGCTGGCACCTTTTATAGCTAGGACAAGTCATAATAGCTCTGAAGTCTGTCCGAGCACCTCAGGGGTCAATAATATTCCCAATCATGCGAGCTAAGCTTGCGGAAAAATTGAGGCGTTGGGTGCAGGGAAGGTATTTCTCGGTCGCGCTGCTCAGAATGTCTAGTGCCCGTTAATCCATCAGGGAGGAAACTTTCGAGTAGAGTCTCTGCAATTTTACATCTTTGGCATTTTAAATAATTTTGAATATTCAGTAAAAGTTGCAAGTTCATAAGTAAGTTCATACATTTGCCTTAATCGTAATGTATGAATCGTTAGCGGAGATTTTGAGACACTGTAACCAAGAATTGTGCTTTCTGCACCCAGCGCTTCAATTGTGGCAAGCCTGCGTATTTTTTTGGCGATGTCTAGCATCCAAATGGTTGAATAAACGTAGCTTATTTCCTTCTCAGTACCAACTGGGGAAAGGAAAGAAGAGACAATAGTCACATCAGTCTGGATGCATCAATCATCAGTTGGCCCATTGGTTAGGACGTAAATATCTGTTGAATGGTGCAATTTTTGAATGTGACATTTGTCTCTTCTTTTCTTTCCCCAGTTCTAAAACCTTTCTTCCCATGTCAACTTAATCATCTGATGATTTGACAAAGAAAAGAGGATCATCACTTTTTGTGGAAGCACTTTTTTAGCTTGCATCAAATTGTGGAAAGCAGGGAACTTATCGTACCCTGAGCACCTCAGATTTGCAGGTGGTCTGGTTCATATTGATTGTTGGACGCGCAACACCCGTGTTACATTTTCACATTCAAGTGCTGAGAAAATTTGGCCCCTGGCTGCACTGTCTCAAAATATTTCATCTCTATTGAGGCACTTATTTTCCAGTAATTCAAGCTTTATGATATCCCTCTCAACAGTTTCACAAAATATAAGTAACAGTTAGTGTGGCTCATGCTAGGCTACGCAAGTTTTATCTGTAAGACAAACGCTATTGGGTGTATTTATTAGGACCTCCATATATTTTCATCTCATGCTCACCGAAAGGAATCTATGACAAACCACTAGCTCTTACTTTTGGCGTTAACTTAATTCTCTCCCTGCCATCCTTCTAGGCATGTGCAGTGCTTGCTTACAGACCATGCCAAATGTTCCTTGGGGTGAATTTTGGTCTCAGACTCCGTCACTGTTTGACTGAAAACCCATAATGGTAGACATTGCATCAGATTAGCTGGCAGATGCTTACTTTTGATTGTCATAGGCAGCAGACCGATTCATGTTTCTGCGCACAGCAGCAGCGTCTTGTGGTCGATTCTATCCTTGATTGCTATTGGATAACAGTAATGTAGTTGTATGTGAATGGGAAGTAAACTGCCAACATAGGTACCTGATGTAAGTTCTATCACCTTATGCACAGTGAAGGAAACTATTATTTCAAAAACCATTGCACGGTCATGATGACAAAATGGCAAGGAGAAAGGAAATCTTAAAATCTTTCCGCCATTGACCAAAACAAATTCTTCTTTTGACCAACATGTATCGCAAGGTTTTAAGCCTGAGTTCTCGTCGTAAGAAGTTGGCCATGCATGACAACCTCCGACGGTGAAAAACGATTTTTAACTTCTCAAATCAACATGGATCGTAGGGTTAAGATTTTTTTGGAGTGTTCTTGTGGAAAATAAGATAAGCTGTTCCAGCTGAAAGCGACTTTTTTTTTTGCGAATTTTCCTAAATGTACCTAATCACAGACAATCTTTAGGCGTTTTTTTTTCTCTCCCTTTTTTATACGTTTTTATTCCGAATGCGACGTTGCCCACTTTCACTCATGTTTTATTTTCAATCCATTTTTGTAAAAGCTACCCATGGTTTCTCTTAGAAAATTCTGCGGATTTTCTCAAATCATTTCCAACATTAGCACAGCAAATTTCGAGGCGTATTTTTCTTTTTTTAATCTAGTTTTAAACATGGTTTGAGTTTCTGAAAAGTTGCCATTAAGACACATAACTGTAGATGTAAATACGAAGAAAATCAAAAATAATGACACGTGATGCTAGTTCTGCACCGCATTATTCGCCGCTAGCCAGGGTAGCACGGTCGTTTCACCGTCGCAGGTTAACGCGCCTTCAATTCCGACTACCGGCAAAATGGGCATCACCCTTGGTCGAATAGTTATCCCGTAACGCCCTCAGTGAGTTAAGTCATACATAGTTGACTGCACGCAAATCAAAGCGTATTTAGCCGCGATTGCAGCTTTGCACAGCTCCATTTACATTTGATTTAAATTAATTTTTAAAAAAAAAAAAAAATAGAAAAAAAGCTACACACGTATTTTCATTAGTTTCTGCGAATTTTCCCAAATCATTTGCTTTGTACTCGCAGCTAACGAGGCGATATTCTTTTTTTTTTTTTTTTTTAAACCCATAAACATTCAGTATAGTTCGAGTTTTTGGAAAATAGAAATTGAGATACATATTTCTCCTCATCCTCTGATGAAAACGCGAAAAGGGTCGAAAATAATGACGCGTCGTTCTAGTTTTACGCGGCGCCGCACAGTGGATCGAGTCAATAGGAGAGGTCGGACAAAATGTGTAAACTTACGCTTCCATTGGTTTCCTTGTGAAATTTTCCTCTCGTAGCACCCCTTAAACTTTAAAATGTAACGAAATGAACACTAAAATGAGCAGTTTTAGTCAATAATTTAATGTCCGACTTCTCCAATTGACTCGTTCCACTGTACGCTGCCAGCCAGAGAAGCATGGTTTACCATCATGCATCACGCATCGTGCGTTGTCGCAGTTTGCCGCGCCTTCAATTCTGATTAGCGGCAGTAGGGGAATCACCCGTGGTCGAATAGTTATCTCGTCACGCCTTCCGCAAATAAAGTCACGTATCGATGCCTATACGGAAATAAAAGCGTTTTTCCCCGATTTATACGTTGCGCACCTAGGTACACTCGTGTTTAATTTTTCATAATTTTTGTTTTAAAGATAGTTTTTCTTCAAATAAAAGCGTAGTTGTTTGTTTTTAATAACCACGCAAAACTCGAGTATTTGCCGCGATATTGAGGTGAAAATCACGTAATTTTTTATGTTTTCACAAATCCGCTGGAAAAGCGCGCAATTACCCATGATATTGAGGTGATAAATGCGTTCCTCTCTCGCTTTTTTACAACAATGGGTCAGTTGCGCTGGTCGCAAAATCGTATTTTGATGTATGATTCGTGTAGATTAGCTAAACGTAATATGATTTGGCCAAACAGTAACTCTCTTCGTTCAAATTAACCGATATATCGCCCTTTGAAATTTCGGTTTATGACGTCATCCACCGCGGTAGTGACACCCTTGGTTTCTTCCACCTTGTTTTCATCCGAGTTTCACGTTGAGTAACCAGTGCAAATGTGTGTCACGCTGACTGAAGGTGGAAGGAACCAAGGGAGTCACTACCGCGGTGGATGACGTCAAAAACTCGACTTTTCAAAGGCCGAGAACTCGGCTCATTGAACGTAGAAAATTGATATATGGACAGATCTCATTATTTTTAACTGAACTATAAAAATCTAGCATCTAAACACGATTCTGTGACCAGCGCAACTGACCCATTGCTGGGAAAATTGCTCATTTATTGTTCACGGAAAACTTCATTAAAATGTTTTATGAATCAATATCGGTCGAAGCTGACACCAAGTGCGCAGCTATTCTAACTCTGAAGTCTTGTCCAAGTGGTGGTATCACGCGAGAACGAAGGAAAATCTCAGTTTTTCCCTCGTCTCTAATTACTGACGATTATAAATGTGCATATTATCCTCGCATCGTTAAATGCGGAAATCAAGTGCGCTTGCATTCGAACTCGAGAAGAGGTATGTGATGTGGTATCGACCGAAAATGAAGGAAAATAGGATTTCGGGTGTGTCAAATTATGGACGTTAATTGATGTAGAATACGCACTCTGCTCGCAGCGTTAAACATTGAAATAAAGCGCACAATTATTTGACCTCCCAAGTATACTTTCCCCGACATTGGGGTGGAATACGGGTAATTGAATCGGCTCGTGCGAAAACCGCTAATGTCCATTTTCTCTAATTTTGAGAGAACTGCAAAAAACTGTAGGAGCCTTTAAAATGCGGAATTAAAAAATGTTCGGAGGTTAATTATTACAGGAGAGGATTGTAGAAAAGGATCCCTAACAGTTTCCAGCTCCTCTTCTGTCTGGGACGGAATTATTAAAAAGAAAAGACTCAGGACATTAGCGGTTTTCGCATGATTCGTGAAAATCTCCGAGTTTTGGAACCGTTTGATACTTTCAAAATTCATTCTAAAGATATTAAAACGATAGATTATCATTCAAATAAAGTTGTAAAACTAAAATTCTTGACAATTGCGGCACTTAAAGCAAGTTTCATCACGAAACGACCAGAAATAAACTGGACATTAGCGGTTTTCGCATGATTCGTGCATGGTCGGTTCTAAATCATCGAAAACGCATATTTTTCAGTATGCCTTTCGGGTAAAGAAAGTTACCCTTACGTATTTTGATGCGCTGAATCCGATTAGGACCTCCGTTTTTCCCTTTTATCCTTAAATTTTCCGGAAAAGCCGATTTTACTCGGAAAAATGACCATTT